GCTTTAGGTTGTCTTCCCACAAATTGTTGATAGAAAATGGACGACACATGAATATATTGACAGGAAAAATGTGTTTATTTTGAGATTCTTTCAATTTAGAAGATGAAATGCGTTCCCTTTTTGTACTTCCATTTTATTTAAAAAAAAATCGATTGAAAAAAGCCTGTATGTCTGATTAAAATATTTGATTTTGTTGTGTAACATGGGCAGGAAGTCATTTTTTATTGAAATATTAGAAACTTTAAACTTGTCAGACGAGAGATTCTGGGCGGAAAACGGCCTCGCTACGCTCCCATCATATCATGGAACGTATCTCCCCTTCTGGCGCTACCACTGTCATCGCATCGTCATTATTACCATGATCATTCTTATAATCATTCTTATCATCATCTTCATCATCATCTTCATTACTATCATCTAGCCTATCATACTCATCATCATCAACTCTATTTCAATTGTATTTCTAATGAGGTATATCAATTCCGTTTAATATCGCAATTCATTGTAAAGTGATCGATCAATTCAAAACGCTGAATATTTAAAGTTAACGGAAAATGTATCTTCATGCCAAAATATTTCTAATTATCTCGGCCCCTGTTGTGGACAGATGAAAGTGCGCCGGTTTACTGGCTGCGGAGGACATGAGGTGACCCTCAGGGGAGAAGAAGGTTATTTAAACGTGCAACATCTAGTCCCGAGCGCATGGAGACCTCGTTTATTTGCGCTATATAAATCCATCTATTATTATTATTATTAATAATAACCGAAAAGCTATATATACTGTCGAGGTTTAGTCCTACTAGGGGTAAACCGTGCTTAAAATCAACCCGTGGATGTCCATCATTACGATACCACGCGATAGAGACAGTTTTTGAAAGGACTAAGTCGATTAAATACATATTGGGTGATAACTTAATGACTAACAATATTTATCTACCAGGAATCTTGTTTTTTACAATAACTATTAATTGTTCCATATAAATAAGTCGCCTGAGTGGTGAACGAGTTGCGAATTTGCGTTTTCTCTGCGTCAGAAATCAATACATCTCCAATTGAGCGTCAACCGCGCGCATTATTTCGACTTTTGTATTAGACGAATCTTTGTTTGATTTATCGATGGCTTCTGTTTTCACAAATGTAGAGAAACTTCTCGCTAAGTATCAGATGTTGTTTATTCTAAATTCTGTCATATTTGTTTTAATCGTTCTTATGTTTTAGTTGACGAACGTTTACTACATAGAAATATGACCAAAGACAACATCCGAACGATTCGTTTTGGGTATATAACACAATGGAAGCATTGGTGCGCGAAGAGGAAAATGGACCAGTGCTTGTTAATAAAAACGTAAGCGCACTTCAAAATCTATCAGAATAAAACATTTTACGGAAGCCACGCGACACCCACTATTGCATGCAGGCAGGTTAACATGATTTTGTTCTCTATTCGCTGGTAGATCAACTGTACATTCTAAGGGTAAGTTTAAGATGGTAGGCCTAATTTAGTTAATCATATGCACGGTGTCCCGGTCTATGGACTTCTATTATAGTTAATAAATTTTAACAGTTTTACCACTTTAAATTATTTGTAAATTATTATTATGTTAAACACTTTTATTTAATAGGTCTGTATTGAGCGTTGGAACAAATTATGACAACGAGAATCATCCTTAAATTATTTCCTTGTAAAATGAATGTCCTTTTAGCTTTTGTCAGCATGGCTATAATATATAAAATAGCTCCATTCTATATATGGTATATCATATATTATAGCATATATCATCATATATCATGTAATATCATGTACCATGTACCATGTATCATCTTATATCATATCCTATCAAGTATCATATCATGATCATATCATATATTAATATCATGTATCATGTATCATATCATATATCCTATGATATAATATTATATCATATAACATAATACCATGTATCATGTATCATATCATATATCATATCATATATCATACCACCATATCATGTATCATATATCATAATTTCGTCTCATATATCCTATCAATATATCGTTATTAGATCATCATTTTGTCATATAATTATCATTTTATTCATTTATGTCCAGGCAATATAAAATACAGTATAACAAAGACACAGGCCCGAGGATAACCTAAAGTAAACTGAATTACTATCGAGAGGCTCTTCTAACAAAAACACGACGACAAACATGCATAGGCCTAATAAATATCCTCACCATCATCATCATCATCATCATCATCATCATCATCTGCTACGCTGTTTCGTCTTGGGTAAACATTACGTAACGTACGCTAATCGTTTCCATTTGTCTCTCTCTCTCTCTCATATATTATTACACAACTGTTAAACGGTGCTAATCCCAGTGGCTGTCTCTTATACACATCTAGATGTGTATAAGAGACAGGATATACAGTATTCACATGTTTAGGTTCCATGTTCATTGCTGCAACCCATGTTGTTTTTGACCTGCCCACCGGTCTTTTAACGCTCCTAACATATTCTGTTAACTCAACTTTGGCTGGGGTGTCCATTTGGTAACCTTAACATGTGCCCTGTCCATCTGAGTCTTCTTTTCTGGATTAAAACTGATCATTTCTTTTCTTTTGTTCTGCTATAGGCCTAGAGCTCGGTATTTTTTTTTTTTTTATCTTGTATGGCCACTTGATTTTAAGAATTTCCTTGAGGTTCCTATGAAGGCAGTATATTTCTTCCTCTTGTTTATTGACAGAATAACTACGTGTATGATTAACAAATGCAGTCAACACTCTTTATATGTAATATAAATAAATTATTAATTAAATAAATGGTTACGAAAGTGATACTTAAAATTATGATTATTAATTAGAAGGTCTCTGACAGCAGGTGGTAAATTGTTCCAAATGTACTGGAAATAATTAAACACATGAACATTTATGACAATCGGTTCTGGCATATACAATTTTAAATCTGTAGTCATCAGTATGTCTGATATTAATTTGGGGTCAATCAGTACCACAGGATTTACTTTAAATTGATTATGTATATATGATAAAATCAATAGATATCAATATTTCAACCGAGTGGCAATATAAGTAGTGTTGCATACTTAATCTCTCTTCATAATTAAAGGCAAGATCATAGCCCAAACAGGCTCGAGTAAAGCGTCTTTAAACCTTTTGTAATGCATTAATGTGATTATTCTGATATGGGTAAAACCCAGGAACACCATATTCAAGAATAGGCCTATACATAAAGCATTAAATAATAATATGAGAGCGACAGAGTTAGAGCAACGAACTGTGCGTCTAATAAAGTCAGATATTCTGCTAGCTTTTTTTGGATATCATAGAAACATGCTCGTCCCATGTTAGAGCACTAGAAATCATAACACCTAAATATTTAAATTTATTGACAACATCAATATGTTCGTTATTAAAAGAATAAGTGAAATGCTCAGCATGTAATAATATGCATGCTTTTGCACTTCTTAACATTGTGCATCATACCATTTTTTCCAAGTAATTAAAAGGGACCATGGCTAGCACGTCGTATCAGCCACTGGATTTATCTAAAAGCAAGAAAAAATACCGAAGCATAAGTGGTGACAGGAAATGGGAGAGAATATCTGTTTCCCGTGAAATGTACGATTCCCCCTTGATGGCACTTCAGAGTAAGTCTAGCTCCATCACCAGCAGCAAGGGCCTAGGACATATAACAAAATACGGCATAAATAAGGATATGTCTTGCAGCTTATCGTGGTCAAGCATGTTCGGGGCCGCAATACCGACAACTGCAATTCCCGGGGACTTTTCAGCGCTGCACCGTCGTGGTTTCGTTGAACCTCCATCACATGGGCGCTTAAAAGCCGAAAACACAACCACACCTGTGCAAAATGGAACCAGTTCACATCGAGAGATATTCCCTGCGCTATCATCTATATTTCCCCGTTACGGGGTACCATTGCCGTCATCACTTACCCCCACGCACACTAGTGACGTGATTCCTGCACATTTACGTAGGCTACAAGAGAATGCTTGCCCTATGTACTGCTGCTGTTCTAACGTGCACAGCTCGCCTGAGTTCGACGCCACGCGAATGGTAACTGATTACATTACGCCGTCACTCACGTTTCGTGATAACGCCTACTGTGTTGACACACGTAATGCAATTACGTCACTCCGTCCAGATTATACTGTTCCCGTTGCCCGTAGCCCGACAAGAGGAGCATCCCCGAAGGCGTATTCATATACTGACACTGAGCCGCTTCGTGGAAATGTTTCAAAACGGCACCGACATGAAACTATGTACTATCGACCAAAAGAAGTCTGTGAACTATGGAAATACGAGGGCGAACGGATAGGGTATTTGCCTTCCGATGGAAGTAAGCTAAAACTGTTTTCGAACGCAGACGTTGAAAAGCAAACAATCAAAGAAGGCATATATCCATTAAATAGAGAATCTGATAACCCCGTCCAGGACGTTGATCGTGCACGTCTAGATGAGAAAAGTGAAGACGAACCGATGATTAAAGACATTTTAAAAGAAGAAAACTCGGATACAATAAACATTTCAAATTCATCATATAAATCGAATGAGAAAAATGAGAAGCCTTACGACAACGATGTAATTACGCCAGAGCACTGCCCAGCCCTGGAGAAAAACGTTAACGAAGGCAAATCTGCGCATTCTCGGCCACTGGTTCGGCTGAAGTCGAAAGATGCTATTGGACCGGGTTATATTGAAATGATTGCCAAGGCTATTCTCAACTCGAAGTCTAAACGGTGTATGTTAACGGATATCTACAAATACATCTCAACTACTTACTCACGATACAGGTATGGTGCTTTAACAATAGGGAGTTTTCGCAAAATTATGAAAACGATAACAAACGGATACGTCATCAAATTTTTAGAAAAACCTTCCCTTACAGTAGCAAATCTGTCACAATGTAGGCTCTTCATTCATTCTACATGAATCAAGCATCATATTCAGCTCGTACAGTATATTTGTCAAGAATATTTTAGGCATGAATGACGATAATGATAATGACGTATTCGTATTCGTTACCGTATAGTTTTCGTAAGGTTGAGAAATCTCCCTGTTGAAATTGTATAAACCTGACATGACTGTTACTATAGGTATCAATAACTGATGCGCCCTTATCTTTAGAATTTTAAACGACAAGACTGGATCTCCAAAAAGGTTTTATATTCAAAGGTAATGGCAAAGGCAAGGTACTTTACCTATGGTTGTCTCTCTCCACTCAGGGTTACAAGTGGGCACCTGGTAGGCTCAAACATAAAATGCGCTGATTACAGCTGCAACATTATGGAATTCTCCCCAGGCAGCTGAGCATGTGTTCCATGTGTGCTTGATCCAATGACATGGGGTAATAATGTTAAGCGCTTAGAGGTCTCTAAATATGCACTTCGAGCTATAAAACGACCATTACTATTATTATCTCCGCCAGGAAATATATGTTTTCGTTTCGTGATGTTTGTGTGTGGGTGTGTGTGTGTGTGTAACGCTTTGCTGTTTCAGTTTCTTTTTCTTGTGTACAAAATATCTCAAAAACATGCTGCACATATGTAAATTCCAGTTACAGGGATTGTTAGGTATGACCTAAGGATGAGGTGATTAAATTTTGGTGATTGTCCGGAGTAGGGTGTGGATGAGGACCATTTAAAGGAATTTGTCCTAGGCAAGATATCTCAAAAACTGACATGAATGAAACTTTCGTGAAAGTTTGGACAAGTTACAGGGAATACATTATCAAGCGCTGGTCACAATCCAAATTAGGGGGTGAACTTGAGGTCCATTTAAATTTTTTAGGTCCTGTGTGTTTCTTGTGTACAAAATAGGGCCTATCTCAAAAACAGCTGCACTGGTTTAAATGCCAGTTACAGGGATTGTTAGGTATAACCCAATGATGAGGTGATTAAATTTTGGTGACCAACCGGCGTAGGGTGTGCATATGAGGACCACTCAAACGAAAACGTCCCAGATCAGATAGTTCAAAAAATAATCAAATGATAATGATTGAAACCTTCGTGAAAACCAGTTACAAGGAGGAAATTGTGAAGTATTGGTGGCGATCCAAATACGGGGGTGCATATGAGGGCCATTAGGACCCAGACTTAAATATCTCTTGATTGGATCAATGGTTGAAAATGACGCTTTCCATAATAGTTTGTTATGTTTTAATAAGAAGCGTTCTAAAAATGAAGTGATTATATTTTGGTGTCGATATATATATGGACTGTTCAAAGCAAAACGTCGTAGATCAGATATCTTCAAAACTAATCAACTCATCTAAATGAAACTTTCGTGTTAGTGTAACTTTTTTTTAAAGTAGATTGTGGCTGGTGGCTGGAATGTAGAACATAGTTTTGAGGAATTATTTTATAGAAAGAGATTTGCGAGTTATTGTGCGTTTTTGAAGAGGAGTGGAGCGATGTGAGTTGGGGTGGTAGTGGTAGTGGTTGAAGTAAATTAGGAACATTTTTTGGGAGGTTTATTTTACAGAAAGGTTTTTGCGGTGGGCGGAGATATGCTCTCTACTGAGTGCTCTTGTATTTATATACCTTTGCACAGATATGTAAATCGGAAATCAGTTTTTTTTTGTAGTAAAGCACAGTTGTTATATAGTTAAATTACCTGTGCAGTAGTAGTAAAAAAAACTTAAGTATTTTTATCTGTGCTTCACGGAAAGTTAGTAGCTTATTTCATTCTTTTTAAATGAAGAACTAATTTTTATTTTAATTTGCTTTTCTTTTTGTATTCCCTTGAGGACGGTATCAATCAATCAATATATTAATGTATTTATAAGGCGCATAATACAGCTGTCTCTAATACTCTTAATAAAAATTGTCTTTATTACATGACCTACGTCTAATAATGACAGTAAAAATGATAGTCTAATAATAATGATATCGGTGTCAAAAATAAATAGGCCTAATAAACTGTATCAATATTATTATATTAACATGAAATCTCTATCAATTCTAGAGACGACACCGTTTGTTGGCGAAACATCGTCCGCCACCATCTGTCCCACTACGAGTGTTTCGTGAAAGCTGAACACAACGGTCACGCACACTACTGGACAATCAACCCCGAAATGGAGCAAGATTTCATCAACGGTAAATTTCATCGCAAGCGGCGACCGAACCGTCGGAAGCGGACGGTCCCGACCACCAATATAATCTCAGATAACTCGACATTGGATTCGGTAACATCGCCTGTTGCTCACTGGTTTCCGAGTACATTTCACCCATATTATCAGGACAAACCTATGAAACCTTACGTGTTCGTTCACGGGCAGCCATGGGTTAATCAGGACCAGTTACGAAGCTGCTATCCGTACTTATTAGATGCCAACTTGCCTAGGCATCCGCTCGAGAAACGCTATCGGTAATGAAGACAATTCAATTTTATATGAATTATAATATTTTGATAGCATGGTAGACTGAGAGTATCTACATTACTTAATGTAGGCCTCACTTGTATTATTTATGGAATTCAAAATATGTGGCTCAGGTGGTATAACCGATTCAAAAGAAATCGGGGAATACTTAAGAAAACATTGAGACAGGCTTTAACGAAGTTAAGCCTTGTGTATGGATACATAATTTTACATAACATGTAGATTGGAGAATGTGATTTTCATTATTTAAAATTTTGGCTTTAGGATTAAAGGACGCCTTCTTTCAAAATATTAAATGTTCGGGCTTTGGGCCATGTTTTTGTTTTTTGTTCGATTTTGTGCCCAATTTGTATGCCTACAACAAATCTAGGCAACTATCAGTCTGGATTTTAGTACACAGTCTCAGGGATTGTACAGTCACAGTGTGAAAGGTACAGTACCGATCTCCACTTTTTTTGGACGCGGCGACCGCGGCCTCCGAGGGCACCGCGCTCCCGGCTGGAACCGCGGGTGCCGAGGGCAGCTTTAAATCAACAATTCTTTTCTAAAATCTTTGACCGCTGGTTGGCTTTGCCCGCTTGTGGGCAAAAAGTGCGCTGCCCGCGATAGTTATTGTATGTTAAAATATTTGGCCGTCTGTGTTGATAATATTTTTTTACTGTGGTCTTAATATAGGCCTATGAGTTTTACCTCAATAGTAACGAACCGCCCTTAAAGAACGCCTTTGAAGTTTCAGTGAGTAATATTAAATATTAAAGAAACCACAGAAAGTTGGTTTACAACAGAAAAAATCTCAGATTAATAGAATATAGTACTAAACATTTTGAATTGAATAGAGAAAAAGATGCACCGATATGGGTCATTTCGTTAGCTTGACATGAGTTTAATTTTCATTTACATTCGTTTCGAGATAGATTTGTAGGTCTGTGTAATGTTCATAACTGTAATTGATACAGTTTCATTATTCCACGATAAAACACAATAATAAAAGAACAAAATGAATCTAACACCCTTAAAATTAAAATCGATATCTTTTCGTATGTTATTTGCAGCTATTATCAATATTCGTATGTTAATATTAGGTAGTTTTATGTACCCAACATGCAACGCGATAGCTCCGCCCCTTTTTATAAACAAATCGAAATACGCATGTGCAAGCCCGTAACCGGCGAAAACTACCTATTAGTATTAGTAGCAGGTCTATTAACTTATCACGGCCACAAGAAAGGATAACTTAAGTGATTATTGATATTATACATATTATTTCATAATTATTATTGTTTACGTTTTAAAGTATTAATAAACGTATCTGTAGTCCAGTAAAGTTTTAGTCAAGACGTTTAAACTTTTATGTAAAACTTGTAAATATACTTCTTAGTATTATAAGCAAAAGCAAACACCTTTAATAATATTTATTAATTAAAAAACCTACTGTATCATTAAAGTTCTTGATTAGTTATTTAATTGAGAACCCTAGCAGATAATATGAATAACTGCAATACATAATAGTTCATAATTTATATCTTTATGTATATATTTATTTCTGTGTGACTAGTCTATTAGAACAAGCTCATAGAAATTATAGTAAAACATATCAAGGTTAATAACATAAGTAAATAAATACTTTATTTAATGTAGATAACCATAAAATATCTATATCACCGAAACATGCGCTAAAATCAAGATGCAGTTTTAACAAGTTTACTGATGAAAGTATAAAAGCTATCATTACAGTATACTGAATAAATTAAAATTGTTTTGCCGGTAACATAAATAGTAATCTGAGAGTATGCATTTCACGTTATTGATTTTATTCATTCGTTTGATCATTCATTCACTAGTTTCGTGCGATTGTCTGTTCCGATCATTCATTTCTTTGTTCATCCAGTCATTCATTGAAGCATCCCTCCTTTCTTTCATCATTCGTTTGTTCGTTCGTCCGTCCGTTCGTTCTTTCGTTACTTCGTTAGTTCGTTCGTTCGTTCATTCATTCATTCATTTATTCCTTCATTCGTCCAACCTTTCATATATTTATTTATTTATTTATTTATCTATTTATTTATTTGATAACAAATGCGACAAACTTTTGGGAAAGTGCAAACATATATGCTATCGAGAAAGACTTACAATTTTAGAGCGTTTGTAAATCTAAGCTGGTGTGAATACTGTATAGGCTTATTTTCGGAACAAGCAGTTTCTATAGAACCATCCATTGTAAAAGTTTCAGTATACTTTATGTAAAAGCAAACGCAGATTGATGAACCGCGACAGAGATTAATCCCGATAATGCAATAAATAATAATAGTAATACTTAAAGTGAAAACATTTTCTATTAGAGACTTACCGTAACGCAAATGTTACAATACGACGTGTGTCAGTGGTTAAGCATAAGTAAACCTTTTCTTCTTTCTCTTTTGCACATTTATTTCGTCATTGAATTTTTATTACAACATTTCATACTTTTTCTGATAAAAATGTCAAAACATTAAACTAATAAATATCATAATCATATAATAGGCCTATAATAATATGATAGGCCTATAAAAATCCGTTGATAAATCGTTTAGTTTAGTTTAAATATACTTTTTTGCAAAAAATGTGTGCATAATATAGACCGTGGGTATGCGGGTCATTAGGAATGCATAGTTCGGTTAGGGTGGGATATGCGGGTCATAGGACTTCAGTGGAGTAACGGCCCATTACCCGGTAATGCGTAGTTCGGTTAGGGTGGGGTATGCAGGTCATTAGGACCCTAGCGGAGTAACGTCCCTACTCCGGTAATGCATAGTTCGGTTAGGGTCTCAAAGCGCTCGAGGTGTGGACTAGCTCGTACATTTATTTTGTTTTCTCCTCTAAGGGTCACTCTCTTCATGTCAGAGCTACACAACAGGGGAAGTATGCCCAGTACACCGAGGTAACCCCATACTCGTCTCGAAAGATGTACTGGAAGTTCAAGTGCACATGAGCCAAATTGTGTACCCTGGGCCTACGGTTTATAGTCCTTATCCGAGAAGACTTGTTCCACCACCAGAACGATAGGCGAGCCTGCCGTTCGAACTAGCACCGATATTATGGCTGTACGTTGCGTCGCCCATTCCTTAGCCGCTCGGCCATTCGACTCATATTTCTTTCTTTTCATGTAATTTGCTCATTGTGTTTAACGCTATGAATATGCAATTCCGAAATAAAAGTTGAATTGAATTACTTTGATGAATACTATCATTTTTATGCTCAAAGGATTTCAAACAAGATAACACCAACTAATAAGAGTTAATCACCGAAGCATGAACTACGTGAACCAGAATAATCCAATTCAATCAAAATATCTTATTTTTTCTTACAATATTAGGCCTATATAAATATAGAACGAAATTATACGAAAATTGAATGGAAACTTTAGTAGTTGAAAATTAGCAGTAACATAATTGTTTTAGCTTGATTAGTATCAGGGATAGCGACAGGATTAGCATGCCATTACGATGATAATAATATTCAATAATTTTTAAGACAAACACGAAGACAAATGTTAGAGTATTTCTTTATTTGATTATTGTAGCATCTTCACAATTTGCAAATATTACATTTTGCAATTGTTTGCGCATAAAAATTATATTCATTTTGAAATGACTAACACACAAAATCTTGATTGAACAGTAACTTTTGGGTCTAAGTCCATTGTTAAAAAAAACCCCCACAATCAATCTCAAAAAACAGTTTGGACAAAAATCAAACTTAATTAACATAGGCCTTTGTTAATATACTGTTTTTATATTGCTTTTTGGATACTTAGACAATGGAGGATTGTTATACTAAACTTTAAAAATAAAAATATGTAATAGAACTGAACGCTTTAAGCCAGAGGACCTACCAGCATGAGTTAGAACATCATAAGTATTCATCATTATAAGCAATTATCATTATTATAGGGAATGTTACTGGACAAGTAGGAATTGTAAACTGGTGGGTGTGGGGTGGAATCAAGTTCAAAACATGTGCGTTTTTTTGTTTTTTGCCACCTTGGGTAAGACACTTTTCTAGAGTTCATCACAATATCAATATTTACAACTAGTGTTGAATTTTTGATTTTGACATTTAATATATGTATATATACATACTGTATATATAATATCTTTCTTTTTATAGAGAGTATACATAAATTACTATATATATATATATATATATATATATATATATATCAAAGAATACAATAATCTAAATGAAGAAAATATAGCAAGCATTAGAAAACATTTTTAAATTAGTAATAATCTAATATACATAAAGGATTTGAATAATAAAAAACCTATCAATTTCATCAATATTTAAACAATTCTTTGGAAATCAATATATTGATAAACTTCTATTTTAAAATTTTAATGCATTTTATTCATATTATTATTTATAAATTCTATCTTTTATATATCAATTATTGTTATTGCAATTTTCATATATTTACAAGGTAACACTGGCTGTGAAGTATATTCTTATAGCTCGAATATAGCCTAGTAACTTGCATTGTTTTAAAAGCCATGTAATTTTCTGAATATAGATTTTTTCTCTATTGTGTGGGTAGCCCCCACCTTATTCCAAATTAAAAACATTTATTATACATGTTTTTTTAAATTTTCACGTTATCATAATATCATCCCGATTCATATAAATCATATGTTTTTATCTTATTTTCATTTTTGATATGATACTGAATATTATCATCACATTAATACAAATAATTAAAGTATTATTGGCATTCAGCAGCATTTAGAGCAGCAATATAATTTTTCTTAAATATTTCATTTAAATTAAACATATAATTCAAAGTAAGTTTTAATTTAATATTTCAATTTTTCCTTTTAAAGATTGTTTTATATAATACTGTATATATGCTTCAAAAATTATAATGACATGATTATGGCTAGCTAACACACTTTAATACAAGGAGATGAACCAGTTTCTTAGTAATAATAATAATCATAATAACAAAAATTATAATTATAATTATTATTATTTATAATTATTAATATACTGTAGATATTACTATGAATCCCTCTCATGAGTGGGAGGAAGCAAATGCTGATTGTGGGGACGAGTTTACGAAAACATTTAGTAATGTAACATAGAAAACCATACAACAATGATGCTATGTTATATTTTCAAATGTAAGGGGGGTAGGAGTCATATCTTCCGGCTCGAGATCGTCAATGTTCGTTACGTTGGATGAGCCCAAGTCATCTCTGTTAAGCTCTCCTTCAAACAGCCTCTGCAAGACGACCTCAACGTTTCTAGATCCTGCAAACATTTAACAAAAATTAGCTTACAATATTTGATGATACAGTAATTTATGTTTGTGAGAGTAAGTTACACTTCACTGTAAGAGTTGCTTACTAGTAATAGCAGACCCAGTTAATGAAGTAGTTATCTACTTACTGCCTTTAAGTCTAAACCGTACGCCATCATCTCTGGCTCTGGCGTTTCCCTCAGTCGTATCTTGTCCTCCATTCTCTAGTGCATCCTCACTTGCGATTGGTGCTCCGTTATCAACCAGGTCCTCTTGGTTGGTCTCTCTCCCTCGCGCCTTTAAACACTTTTTCGGACTTTGTGCTTCAAACTTTCCTTCTGCTATCCTGAAATCATCAAGAAATTGAATATTAATAACAATAATAATAATAATAATAATAATAATAATATGTAGGTTTTTATACAGCCTTTTACACAAGTCTCAAGTCACAAGTCTGCATGAAATATATGAGCCCATTTTGCATTCAAACCTCCTTATAGGTACCCACTTATACTCCTGGGTGGAGAGAAGCAATGCAGAAAAAGTGAAGCGAGGGATTTAAACCCTAACCTCAAGGTTGGAAAACCAAACCATTCCTGTTGCACCAAGCCACTTAAAATTGATGGTGTTTCTATGTGCACAATGTGCCGGCCAACATTACTGATTTTAACAGTTAGACTAAGTAATATGAAACATTTATTAATGTCTGGTGCGCTTTAGAGTTTTTATTATCCTCAAAATTATGACAATGATGATTATAATTATATAATACTAATAATAATAATATTAAATGAAAAAAAAATAATTAATAGACTGAAACCTTTTTTTTTTCTAATAATTGGGAAGAGAAAAACGGAATAGAGGGAAACAGAAGATAGGGGAAGAGGAGAAGGGGGTGATGAAGATTCTGAGAATTAGGATTGATAATGAACACAGCAAAGTCATCTAGGGTTCAACAAGTTGAAAATTTAGGATTAAAAAACGTCACATTGTCCCACAAAATGTACACGCAATTATCAAAACCGTCTTTAAATTGGGTCGAACTGGATGAATAGATGAAACCTATCCAGTTATCAATTGTCAAACTTAACCTCAATATGTCCTTGGCAAAAAGAGTTAATCATTTAAGGTTTTTTTTCCCTGCCACACAAAGATACCATTGTCAAAATACACAAACAATACAGGTATGATGCCAAGAAGATGCTTGTCAAAGCATGTCTTTATAAACAATTTTTATCTTTTAAATAGAGCGGGGAAAAAAGCAGGAAAACGAAGTAAAAACCACTCAAAGTATTTTTGGAAAAGGTCAATAGCAGCAATAGTATTTGACTTAAGCCCACAATAAAAGGCAAAAATAAATAGGTTCTTATTAGCCTAAATTTACAATTGCGGTATTGTTGCTATCTGATCGTGTTTATGGTTTATGGATGACAGCGCACCCACAGTATGAAGTGCAAGAGATTACTATCTGTGCTGAAACAAAATCTAACAATTTGAGTATTTAAAGAGGTAGTCGCATATTTTTACTGAAATTGTTAAATATCTTTTATATCCAGTGGCTATTTCAATTCAAATAATCAATTGGCTATTTATACAGCGTGCATATCGATCAGTGGGGGAGATGCTCACGGCGCCAAGGCATCAAAATAGCTTCGCCGGTAAACTATTTACTTTGTAATGCTTATCAGTTTATGCTGCTGTAGGACTGTCTCTTATACACATCTAGATGTGTATAAGAGACAGAAATATAGCAAGTATTCATTTTATGCCCTCAGGGTGTCAAATAACTGTATTTAATCTTTAGATTGGACACATGAGGCATGACATTTGTAATATGACAGGAGCCTTTGACGCTGACACTAGAGTTAACTGGTTTCAGTGAGAAAGACAGACCTCAAGGGGCCTAAAAAAGAAGCGAATTCAATGCGCTTTTATATTCTATTATATTATATGGTTTTGCCATATCCTTCCGTGTATTGGGGATTTGTATTAAACTATAACTATAAAAAAGTTTACATAAGCTTATCACCACATGAAAATACAGAAAAAGGGGTAAAATTAAAATTTTAAAAAAAGGTGTGATAAAAATAAAAATATTACCTCATACAGTTGATAATAATATCTTTTATTTTCACAATACAATTTCACAGAGATTTACTTTAATATTTCTGCATATTGTTTGTCAATGGTACCTTTTTGTAACATTTTCACCCCTAGTAATTGAAAACCTTGGCAAATGCCAAGTAGTAGATCTAGAATTTTAAAATAGATGGGCCCATGGGGACTTTTATATATAGAGGGTTCGGACCACCTGCACTTCACCATGATTGGGGCCGAGGTACATAATTTTAAGATAATGGCACTCTTAGGCTTAAATTTGAGTATAATTTTCTTTTTTTTATTGATTATTTTTTTATTTTCAAAAGAAAATTGGGGGTGGGGGAAGGTGGGAACTTTGGAAATTCTAGTTTTTTGTTTGCAAGCTCCTAAGTTATTGAATGCTTAAAAGCCTCCTAACACAAATACCACAGAACTTACTCTGTAACGCCAAGCCCAAGTTCGTTGATCCGGCGCTCCACTGTCGATTCAAAGTTGTTGTTTGATAATGAGAACTCCACCATGAATACTTCAAGAATGAATGCAATGAAAATGCTGAAAAAAAAAATTTTAAAACATCTTGAGGATATTTCCCGCAGATTAAAATCGTAACAGTACTGGGTTTGGTCTACACGAGCTCGTGTTTCGTACAGGTCATTCCATTCATAGAAAAAGCCTTTAATGGTGAAAGCATACCAGTCATTAGCCATAGCAGCCTAGGTCAATACATAACACCAGCTCTATAAAATTTATTATAAGATTGAAAATGTTAATCTTACTATTGTAGTAGTTATACACTATGTACACGGTTTAGTTATTGTTATTTATTCGTTAACGCTATTATATTAATATATAAATTTAATGTATTGTTTAAGTTTGAATTACTATGTCCATGTTAAATTAATCTTATCTATTAAAATTGTATATTTAAATAATATAGTAATAGGCATAGCCGAGGTCTAGCCTAGACTAGGCCTAATCAAATGACTATATGTGAGTGTATAAAATTATGAAAAATATGAAAAAAACGCAAAATTGTGAAAGAATAAAGGAAGAAGGAAGAATAGGAAAGAGATTTGGAGCGGCTGAAATATTTTCCGAAAATATACAATAGTAGTCAATAGGCTATTATTGTATTACGTTTTTGTAATACACTCCAAAGGATCTATCCACACTATAGAGTTGTCTTGAATAAATACATGTGATCTGCACATATATGGTGAGATATGACATCATCATACCCATATTATGGGCATATAATGACAGAAATTTGTCAATGAAGTATTAGGCCTCATAATGGATGCAGCATTAAAGTAAACTTTATTTTTGAGGGCCCCTAATGATCAGCAATGCTGGATGGATCACCCTCTTGAAAAATAGTATTAAATAAAAATATAAAATTATTCCTTCATTTTACTGTAAAAACATAGCCAGTTCTATGCTGTTTAACACTTCTATCCAAGGAATACTTATTCACTTGTGGTGTAAAAACAGTGTAATTTCATAGAAATTATACCACTGTTAACAATAGGATACAAGAACAAAAATACAAGAATACCCCCTAAGTTTTATCACCACAAGCAAAGTGTTATTGTAGCAATTTTCATTGGCCTGGTATTTTAAACATTAACATAGTATAGTAGGGTTTCTTGATTTTCACTATTTGAAATTCTTCAGTTTGGGTGAGTTTATCAATTAGCACTTTAGTCTGCTGCCCTCAGTAGGTGTACTTACTTTATAACGACTATAACAACGGACATGTGGAAGAGAATGAAGAACAATCTTGCAGATTTGTTGGTAACTAATACAAATCCTGATGCTATTAGTAAATACAAGTTAAGAAAAAAACAAAAGAATTATGAAGATTATTTGTTATGTATGCCAATAAGTTTGTGTGTAATAACAATAATTTTATCTAGTTCTAGAAATTAAGATTACACAGATAAAAATAGCATTATAAACAATTTCATCATATTTTACGACCATTAGCTGAATAACATTAAAAAAACAGAACAACAATTAGAATAACAATATTCACAATAATAATAAAGTAATACACTAATAATGCTAATGATTGTAATAAAAATATTAAATTCATTGGAGTAGTACTATGGGTACATTATGTGTTCTGAAAAAAAAATGGTCTCAATTTGTTAATGCTATCAGAATAAAAAAAAAAGGTCACTTATCTCTGGCCTATAATACACAAAATAATAAAACAATAATAATATATAACAAAAATAAAATATTGATATTTTAAAAATATATTAATAACAATTAATCATAATAATAAAAAAAATAACTAATATTAATTTTATTTCACAAAAAATAAATAATAATAATAAATAATATTTATTAATAATTATGATCAAAGGATATTATGCCACTGATTAACAAATGTGAGTTCAAAAATAATAATATTTATTAACAATAATTATGATCAAAGGATATTATGCCACTGATTAACAACTGTGAGTTCAATAAGTAGTATCATAGAATTGATAATGTTGTTGAAATTATTATGGCAGTAATGTTCACGATAGAACACAGACCCCTTAAGTTTAATGTTGCCGCAGTATTCTTGAGATGGATCATCGTATTTGTCCGGGTACCCATAATGCGTGATAAGCCCTCCGAACACTTCCATACCGATGATGGCAAATACATAATATACAACCTGTTGCAAGATGCAGAATTAAAGCATAAAATAATTATTAAGAAATGGCATGATATGTTAACAAGTGTAATTAGGTATAAAAATACATGCGATTGGAGTTTAAGGTTCGAAACCCTTGCAGGGCAAATTGCTTTTGCCCTTGAATAGGAGACTTCATCTACGTTTGTCTCTCTTCATGCAGTGGGTAACTGGTAGGACTTAATACCAAGTGCTGATAATAACTTCAAAAAAAATATTATCACTAAATTTCAATCATATTGACAATACTTTTTCAATAAAACATTTAATTAACATATTAAACTGAAGTATAACACAGATAAAAGTAGCAAAATGCATAATTCAGTAAATTAAACTTACAAACAGGACAGCGCCGAATGATAGGATTGATGGCCCAATATTTGCAACGGTTGCCAGGATGACTTTAAATCTGAAGTAAAATTTTTTTTTTTACAAAAATAGCAATATCATCAAACAACAACGAGAGAGCAGCTTAGCTCAGTCGGCTAATCTGGTGGTAGCCACTGTGTGTGTGCTGAACCGTGGAGATCTCTAGGTCCCCGGTTCAATTCCCATCGCTGCCTCTCCTTGTGTTTCAGCTAGAGGGCTGAAATACAAGTTACAATAGCGCACCGTCTTTCGGATGAGACACTTAAGCCGTTGGTCCCATGTGCACGTTAAAGAACGCAGTACACTCTTCGGAAAAGAGTAGGGGATTGTCTCCCGGTGTACTGTCCAATCACCACCAGAAGGACCCCGCCACAGGGTACAATGTGCTATGCATTATTTCAGTAAACCTATTAAATGTCCAGGTGAATACGTTAGATTTTTAAACAACAGTCTGCTGGTATATATTTAGTATTATTATTAGTAAACTTTTGGTTTATTAATGGCAGGAGGACCATGTAGGTATTTCCATCATGTGGACAGATCTACCAGGTGATAAATACTCAGTAGAGCAATAAGCATTAGGGGAATCAACTTTGGGTGGAGGGTCAATATTAGAATATGGTACGGTAGGCCTACGTTTCTAAAGGGGTTCAACTCAGGCCCTGTCTCTTATACACATCTAGATGTGTATAAGAGACAGGAAATACAAGTTACAATAGCGCACCGTCTTTCGGATGAGACATTTAAGCCGTTGGTCCCATGTGCACGTTAAAGAACGCAGTACACTCTTCGGAAAAAAGTAGGGGATTGTCTCCCGGTGTACTGTCCAATCACCACCAGAGGACCCCACTGGAAATAAGACTTCTTCTAGACTTTCGTGGGCTATCCTTGGTGTTTACACCGAATAAATCCAATCCAATAAAATAGTTCATAATTCATAATTTCATTTTGGTGTGTGGTAGGCAAAAAGGGAACAAGTCCCTATACAAGATGCCTACCACAGTACAGTGCTTGCCCACTAACTGAAAAAAGAAATTTTGGCAGACGCAACAGATATAAATTTCTCCACACTACTCTGTACCAGTGGCGGCTCTAGGATATGTTTTCTGGAGGGGGCTAAGTTGTCCGACAGGGAGACTTGAGCTTGTAGGCTCGAGCTGGGGGAAGGGTTTGAGAGGGGTTTCCCCCTCCCAAATGATATTTTTTTAAAGAATATCAACCTCTGGATGGCCGAAAATGGCAATCTCAGACTGTTGGTTTGGTGTGAGCCTATGACGAGTTCTGTCTGGTGGGGGGGGGGCCCTTAACCTGTCCGGTGGACGACTTAAACCCCACTTCACCCTGCTGGTGCCGCCACTGCTCTGTACTGATTATGTGGTAGTGTTTGGTGCAGCAGGAACCGTTTGGTTTCCCAACCTCGAGGTCAGCGTTTCAAGTGGGAACCTGGTAGGGTTAAATGCTGCTGCAACATTTTGGAATACTCCCCCAGGGAGGTAAAGTTTGTGTTCCATAAGCATTTAATCCAATGATCGGGGTAATGATAATGTGAAGCATATAGAGGGCTTAACAATATGCGCTATTTAAGTCTACCATTGTTATTATTATTATTATTATTATTATTATTATTAATATTATTATTATTATGTAACGTAAACAGAACATCGTTTAGTATTGGCTTGTTTCTCAACCAAATTTCCATCACTTGCCTTTCTATTTCTGCAATAATTCTGACCAATCGTAGCACTCTAAGAACAAGCAAGAAATCCAAGTTATCCTCAGTTACACTTTCTGTAAAGGAAAACAGACAAAACAGCTTAAAAAGTACATTTTGTGGTAAACCACAAGTTTTATTCATCAATATATCATTATACAACAGTAAAATCATTCACTCAATACAAATCATCAATAAAATGAATAGGGCTACATAATATAAGTTTAACTTTCAACATATCAACCATATAAAATACATATTTTTTTATCTCTCTAGTGAGGGTAACTCACTTTTCAATTTCATTTCATGGATTTCTTTATTTATTAAAAGCACTTTCTTGTCTACAAAACTGCTCACGATCTTCAGGTCTATAAGCATTAAATATACTAATGTTAAAATATCATTAATTCATTAAATAGGTACATCGACAATACATACGTAAATTATGTTTAGGGGCAATATTTTATAAATTATTATATAAATTATATCATAATTAAGTCAAGTGCTTTATAAATATATAAACAATATATATTCACGTATATATATACATATAATATATATATATATAATATATATACTGTCTCTTATACACATCTAGATGTGTATAAGAGACAGACAATGAACTTACCAACAATACTAGCTATTAATGCACCCATTATCACCACGAAATCAAATCTGAAACCAAAGTCATTGTTATAATTACACATAGTGATTCTATTTTAGTATAGGCCTAAATATACATAACTGAACAATACATATACAGTATATATATGTATATAAACATATATAAAATGACCTTGGATATTGTTACTAAGGTTCAACAAAAACAATAACATAATATATGTTAACATTTGTGGGAGGTGACAGGTGCATTTGTAAGACATGCGCATACCGTATTCGCGCGAATAAGCGCCCCGTTTGAATAGCACCCATCTCGAATAAGCGCCCCTCCTAACGTGAAAATTTTCTTAAGCGCCCCGTTTGAATAAGCGCCCCTCATAAGATTTTCTTTTTAGCAAGTCAATAATCCAATCAATCCTGGGACTGTGGCTGTTGGCATGATTTGAGCTGTAGAGTGGAAACACATTCTTCTTCGTCAATATCAAAATGAGGATATTTTTCTTGGACAGATGAGAGCTCCAATCTCTGGACAGACAGTATATTTCCAACTTTACTCTTTTTACATATTTGTCTATGCCTAGTCCTACTCCTCTTTCTCTTTTTCCGACCTTTAGCACATTCTCATCTAGTTTTCAAGAAAAAATACAATGATCCTGCCA